AGTTTTGTGTTGCTGTTGTAAAGTTATACAGCTACAGTTGTGTTGCTGGGTTTTAAAGCAGGTTTGATTTTTTTATTTTCTTCCTTATCAGTCTGTATTTACAGCAATTTCACTGTCCACTTTGTTCATGTGGACAAATGGTTACACACATAGATGTGTGCACACACTCTCAGAGCTGTGTGAGATCACTACCATCCTGCTTTTATGGGGGTGGGTAGGGGTGTTAAATAATTATAATATTTTTTTTGTTTTGTTTTTTCCCCATAGGTTTTTAACATTCTAAAAGCTCTTTATTCCAAAGATACTACAAGCTAGTCATAAGTAATGGAGTTGTGTACTTTGTCCGCCTCTGTCCACATTTCTGAACCGCTAACGTGAAAATCAAGAAGTGTTTATGCATTGATTTCATTCCACAAAAAGGGTGCGTTTATGTCGAACTTTTGTTATGTTGAGCTTTTAACATGCGATATTATAGCCTTTTCTTAACGCATCAACTAAAAATAACATTTTCGTCATCTTTCGCTGTTTTTGTATTAGACTGAATAATTATATATAGCAATAAAGGCATTTTTTATATTATTTTTATATTTGCATTTTTTATTTACTTATTATATCTTTTATATATTATTACATTTTATTAAAAGTTTTAAATGAATGTAATGAAAATATTTATTAATTAAATACTTTCTTTCAAGATAACCCTTTACGAACAAGCGTTTCCTCTTTTAAATTCCTTTATACATGTTCGACACATTTCGTACATTTTTATAGCAATTATATGTTTATTAGAATGTAGACGTAGACAGTGAAGGGCACAGTGAAGCTTAACTACATTTCTCAGTAGCGTGGTGGTAGCTTCGCTGTTTTCTGAATCAAATAGCTTTTCAGTAGCGAAGCTCTGTTTTTGATCAAGTAGCGCGGTAGCGTCATCAAAACTACATTTTTCAAAGCATTCTGAAGCTCAAGCTCAAATCGGAAATGTAACTGCTAAGGATCACTGATCCTGGACCAGTAAAAGTAACGCCACCGCAACTACGCTTCGTAACTCCATTGGCTCCTCAAACTGTCAGTCAAACCTCATTATTCCTCCCGCCTCTCTCGTGAATGAAGTGCGGCACGCAGTTTGGAGCATCTCAGCTTGTTTGCAGTCTGAAGGTAAATAAAGAACTGTTGATTGAATAAGTACAGCATTTTCTTTACTGAAGAAACACTATAAAGGCTAATGTTTTTTTGTATTTGAGGAGCGGAGAAGAGTGTCTTTCAGCATTTGTTGTCGAGTCACAGCCAAATAGCTTGTGCGAAGAGCTGAATCTTTTATAATATGATATTTTGGCCAAGTAACAGACAAAACTGAGCGCCCTCATAGTGACAGAAAACTGTATAACCTGCAAGTTCATGAAAACCTACATGCGATGCATGCACTGCCTTTGATGTGGCGGTAATGTCGGGAAAAATCGTTCGCTGGTCAGAAACTTAGTATTTGAACTTGATTTTGGTGAAATGTTAATAATATAATGACACATGCAACGAACGCAAATAAACGTAGCCTATCTGTAGGCCTATACATTTATATGGTAACACTATACAATAAGATTTAATTAGTTAATGTTAGCTAATGTATTAACTAACATGAGAATACAATGAACAATACATGTATTACTGTATTAATCTGTTAATGTTAGTTAATGAAAATACCGTCGTTCATTGGTAGTTTGTTTGTTCACAGTGCATTAACTAATGTTAACAAACACAACTTTTGATTTTAATAATGCATTAGTAAATGTTGACGTTAACATTAATAAATGCTGCAGAAGTATTGTTCATTCTTAGTTCATGTTAACTACACTTAGTTAACTAATGATAATTAATGAACCTTATTGTGAAGTGTTACCATTTATATAAATGTATCTGTATAGCCTACAATAAAGCCACAATACCAACTATCAATAGGACGTTTCCGGCAGAGAGCAAACATTTATTTTGCCTATATGTCACAATATGAGGTAAATCCGGCCCTGTACATGATACTGGTTTTTGTTGCCAAATTGGTTTGGAACAGTTGTTGAATAAACAATTAAACTGAACTATTATGCCTGTCTATCTGTTTGACTGACAGTTTTATTGATCACTGAGAGAGCATTGACTTGGTATGATGTTGGTTCAATATGAAAATGACATTTTTTAAAAATAGCTTAGATGTAGTAAACTACTTTTGTCATGTTGCTGTAGCTTAGCTTGCTACATTTCCCAGGGCTGTAGCTTTGGTGTAGTGAAGCTTCATTTAATGACGACGAGTAACTGTTAGCTTAGCTCACTACATTTTCCAAGTAGCTTGCCCAACACTGGATATAAAAACATTGGCATTAATCTCTTTGTAGTGTCATGACCTTGCACATGCTAAATGAGCTGTAAAACTGCCAACCCTTTTGTTTTTAAAGGCCTATCTATACCACAACGTTATAATTACTAATTTAACTTGATATGGCACAATGAACCACTTCAACACTTAAAGAAATTCTTTGTCTAATAGAATGGGTAAAATATATATTTACATTTCATATATCTCTGAAATCACATTTTTAGGCGTTTTAGGTCCTGTCAGTTAGGCCATAAACACTATAGCTTGGTTTATTTATTTTTCTTAAGGAAAGCATTCAGCAACCTACAAATAAGCAGAGAAATCTCAGCAAGGGTCCGTTTATGAACTATCACCACTGTGCCTTGTTCAAGACCCCAAGTTACTCCAATTAAGGGACACTAGTCTTGGACTACTGTTTTGTACTGTGTGCTGTTCGTTCATTTAAAATTGAATAAATTAAAACGTCTGAGGGACTACAAATTGCGCTATTTATTACCCATGATTCCCCACAGTCATCTTACAAGTTAGAAAGGTGTTGTGGCTTCCTCTGTGTGCGCACAGAACAGCAGATGTCGCCCTTAGTGAAGTTGTAGCTGCGCTCCTTTGCAGATCCACAGGTTCAGCTTTCGTTTAGTACAGGATTTAGGTTATTTTATGTATCGTTTCTAACCGGTTAAAGTCTAATATTGATATTTATCTTCTCCTTTCAAACATTTCATGCGTGCCAAGTATGTCTATAAATGCTTTACCATCTTGTGCGCATATTTTGCGTTTGATGCAGTCTGCTGCTACATTCGTGATGTTCCTTCATTTCATTTGTTAAAAATGTTCTCATTCGTCCATGCATTAGCAATGCAACGGATACCAGACGTAGCCTATGGATTTGATGCAACGCCTCACTATCATTTTTTTTCTCTGAGGCAGAACGGCGAATGTGACCTGAATGCAGGGCATGATTTAGTAATGGAATGAGACGCAAAACTCATTCAAAGCTCATTCATTCGCACTGTTAGCAATCGCGCTCAAAGCAGCGCAAACCTCTGCGGTGCTCTAACGATTTACAAGGTTTGAGGCGGGCGCTTCCCTGCACCATACATTTTGGTGTTTTTTTTTTCTTTCTTTTTCTTTTTCTTTTATTTATTTTTTTAATTCGATGAGGATTGGCGATGGGAGAGATCATGGATTGACCATTTTTCTCGGGGTGTCGGATACTAAAGACGCACACGCCGGCGCATGGGCGTTCGTTTCAGCACCCCAGCCGTGAATCTGCCGTTTGTGCGGGGAATCTTGCCCTGATAGATTGGGGTGGCGGATAGAGACGGGGCGCGAGGGATACGGCAACAGCGTCTTGTCGCTACGAAAGTGGATTCTTACAACATTTGTGCTGAGGGGATATCGAAAGTAGCCCTAATAGTTTACTGCAGCATTTCACATTCGACTGCAGTGGAGGATACACAGCAGCCAGTGGCGAGTAGGGCGCGCTCACCACTGCAATTTCGGGGCAAAGATTGACTGGCGGCGTCTTGCGGATACCTGTTCGTGTCTTCGGAGGAGGCAGCGTCCACGACTTTCCCTGCATTTTACGATGCGCTTCGGAAGAATGCAGTTGAGGGATCTGTGTTAACCCAGCAGCATTACGCCGTTTCCGGTTCCCAGCTGGTGTTTCCCGATTGCAAATCTATCGGAAAAAAGCAGTGGATCCCGATGGCATGGACACTTACGCAAGGTCTGCCGCGCCGCCGTGCTACTGGAGCCTATTCGCAGTTTCTTCAGCCTTCAACCCAGCTCCACCGCCATCGCCCCGCAGCCCTGCCGCAACGCGACCACCGAACATCGAGCCAAAGCAGGCGGCATGAGGAGGCTTGATTCGGTACACTTATCCATGCTGCTCATCGGGGTCTCCTTCGCCTGCTACTCCCCGAGTCTGAATTCCCTGCAGGACCAGGCTTACAGATCCGCCGTGGTGATTGAGGGCAAGGTGCAGTCCGCGCCTCAGAACGTCTCAGCGGAGCTGTACAGTGTGAATGTCAAAGTCCTGGACTTGTGGCCGCGAAACAGCGGGGGTCTGGAGCGGGAGCAGCTCGTCACCGTGGGGGAATTTGGCTCGGAGGCTCCGTGCGCCAAAGTGAAGAAGAATCACAAGTATATATTTTTCATGGACCCAACTGATGAACCCTTGGTTTTTAAAGCGTCGTTTGCGCCCTTAGATACAAGTGGGAAAACCCTGAAAAAAGATGTTGGGAGGATCTTGTGTGAAGACTGCGGTAAGTTTATGCCCACAAAATGCTTGTGCAGGGGCTTGCAAATTGACATTGGCCGTTGGCTTCGGTTGTATGCTTATGTGTGGTGCGGATGACATCCAAATGTTTGGTGTAAGTAACAGATGGGGGCTTGTGGGGGCGTCTCTGCAGCAATATTGGGCAGGAATAAAACGCTTAAAGGTTTTTCGTGGTATCGTCAGACATATGCAAAGACACATGCTTAGGCACACGCGTGCTCGCTGCTCATTTGCAGGATACCAAATTCTTTCCTCAAGACAATTGTAATAAACTAGCACCCAGCAAACATTGGTCCGACGGCAACGTCGTTTCCCTGGCCAAAAATAGTCGCGGTAGGACGGCATAAATCGGTAAAAATATGTAACACAGAACATTTCCTAAAAAAAATTCAGATACGTTTGTGCATCTCTACAGTTATCTGGGGTTGCATATATAATTGTTACCTTGACTTTTTTAGCTAAGTGTAGTACAATATGTATACCCTGTTGTGAATCAGTTGTGAGAGGACGTCGTCCACTAACGTCCTTTACACGTGCATTTATAGTCCATCACGACCCTCTATGAAATTCCTATGAAATATGCAAAAGCAATTGTGCTTACACCTTTGTTAATACTCCAATAATTAAATTAAGTGCCCTAAGTAGTTTTTAAGAGGTTGTGGGTAGCCTAACGTCCACTGACGTCCTTTACACGTCTATAGTCGACCAAGACCAATTGTAAAAAATCAATAAATCTTTATGAAATACACAATCATTTATATTTACATCACGATCATTTGTATTTATTTTAATGACTAATTGTATTCACAAAGTGCCCTGTGTGAAGCCACTGGATTTGAGTCATTATTCGACCCGTTTTCCCTATACATTACAATACGCTTTTATTCTATTTTTTAATGAAAATTATGCATATACATGTGAAACAGATATATATCCGGTCACCATTTCAAGTCTGAGCTTTATGTGAATTTCCAAAACTCTGCTGCCAAGATGTATATATTTTTTGCAAAATCCCGCGATAGGATAGATTATCTCGCGAGAGAGCGTTAACGCATTTTCCCGAAATGAAGTGTTTAATCAAGCAACATGTGAAGAATAGATGGCAGAAATATTGGGAAGAAGAAAGAACAGGGAGATGGTTTTATAGCATTCAAAGAATTGTTGGTAAGTACAGAGTAACAGGAAGAAATAGACATGAGGAAACTGTGATACACGTGATTAAAACGTTTTATAGACGTTCAGGTCTGACTGGACCGATTTTGGACCTTTTTAGAACATTGGTCAAATTCAGATGTGCCTTTCACGATGTTGCACAATGGGTGTGTGATTATTTTATATGCAGGCTTATACTTAAATTATGCAGCAACACATCTTATAAACATCCAGAAGATGACACATTTAGACGTCCAGGGACGTGCAGAAAAGACGTGTAATTCACGGACAGAAGACGTCAAAGACGTCGGTTCAATTTTCATTTTGGATATATTTTTCAACCATGATGGGATGTGTCGGAGGGACGTCTTTTCAACGGTCATTAAACGTCCAAATGTTTGCTGGGCAGTGTTCATGGCGGATCTATCAGACAGGGCCCAGAGCTTGTATGTTTGGATATGAAAAGGTATAAAATGTCAGAATGACCTAGAATATTTCAACCCTGGCCGTCAGGACCTAAAGCTCATTGCTCTGTTGGGAATAGAAAGTTGCTGGTCTGCGCTTGTGTAATGGGCCTTCAGAACAACTGCACTGGGAGTGGAGCCTTTGAAACTCCACTCAGGACGCGGGGAATATCTTCCAGCCAAGAGTCATGTGTCACCTGTTTGCACACTGCATTTTTATGACCTTTGTATAATAAGAAATTGGATTGATCCCATTGTTTTTTCATGACGACATGTTCCTCGAAAGCACATTTTAACCTTCAGTTATTGGCTACTTTTGATTCAAAGCGGCAACTCAATTCCCACTCTCGCAATTGCAAAGAAAAAATGACACTGCATCTTTTTCTTAGTATTGTGATATAACTAGAAGTTGGTACCATTCTGTCAGTGAATGAGTTTCAGGTAATCGTGTTTTCCACAGGCCTACTGTCAGAGGGCTTCTACTTGACGTAGTACGCGTTTAGATTGTCGCTGTCCAGGGTGCTGTACCGTCCTCTGCTCTTCTTATGAACGAGTACGCGAGAAACACCTAGTCTAAAAAATTTGAATGGAAATATGCAATGTTTATGTAACTAGTGCATACGTTAATATTTTTTCCTTTCCATTAGTAACTTTTTTTTATTAGGTACTTTGCTACTCAGTATCCCAGTGTAAGTAGCCTAACTATTGTTAACAATTTGAAAAATGTTGTCTATGGTAATTGAGAAGCAGCCAGACACTCACCGCGCCTTCAAAATAATCCAACTGAGGTGCGTAGACCAAAAAAAGTTTCCCAAAGGTGAAGAGCTTGAAAAAAGTCTGCACATTCAAACATCAAAGAGTCAACAAGCGAGATGAAAGCAATATAAGCAATTTACTGAGGCTATGGTAATTAAAATACCAAGTGTTCACTTCCAAATATGTATTCCAGTTGTTGCTGGTATCTATTCCAGTTGTATTATTAATTCTTCATAGGTACTAATGCTACATGTCTATTCAGACATTTACTATTTATTCTAGTAGCATATTTTGAGCACAAACTAGGACCTACTTATTATATACTAGTGTCTATTCCATTTTTTATTGGTGTTAGTAAGATTTCTAAATTTTCTATTTCTATTTATTTATAAGATTTCTATTTTGAATATGTACTATGTAGTTAAATGTAAAATATATAGGCCTACTTTTTACACACCTTTTTAAGGCAGCTGTGTGCCTGCTCAAAATTTAGTGTAAAAGTGCACAACCGCATGAAAGCCATACTAAATTATGCCTGCTCAGACCCACGTCAGCTCTTAGTTTCAAAATATACAGTTGTTATTGCTGTGTAAATGCATTTATGCCACCTCTGAGCAGCATTAAACAGTCTGTGTAAAGACACCTAAATGCCACTTTAGAGGACTTCTGTGCTGCCTGCAGTGTACATTTGACGCTAGAGAGCTAATGAATCTAACATGTCTCATTAATTGGCACTAGTATCTAATAAGCACAAAAAACACCTTTTTAGGCATATTTACATTGTTGAGTAAAGGCTGCTCTGTTCCTACTCAAAATTATGTGTAAAAACTTAATGCTGCTTAAAGCCAGACTAAATTAAGCCTGTTCTGACCCACCTCAGGCCCTAGTGTCAAAGCACACAGTTGTATTTGCTGTGTAAATACATTCATGCCACCTCTGAGCAGCATTGAACAGTCTGTGTAAAGACACCTAAATGCCACTTCAGAAGTGCTTCTGTGCCACTTTTGCAGTGTAAATTTGGTTTTCGAATGGATACTAGAATATATTGCAATAGACTAGAATGGGTAGTATCAATTGAAATAATCTGAAAGTGTGTAGCTGAAAAGTTGAGTACTATGAAGATAGCAAAGTGCAAGAAAAAGTATGAGTCTTAATAAAATGTTGACGTAAAATATTAGTTTACTTTGTAGTAATTAATGTAAACAATAGTAACTAGTTTTGAGGATTAAATGTTAAAACACTTGCTACAGTATGCTAGTACATGCAGCTTATGAAAACATATTGTAGCAGACAGAGGCCTTGAATCAGAACTATCGTTTAGATTTCTCTAACCTCATCAATAAATTGAAAATCTTGTCCCATGGCTTATTTTCAAAGATCAACGAGTGCTCGCTAGATGACTTTGCAGTTTCTTCTCTCAAGTGCATCTAACCTCTGCATTGAACTAACTTGTGTGATGCAACAAAATTATTTACACCGTTTGCTTTGCGATGAGACTGCCGTCTGCCATTCACTTACAGAAACGTTTTCTGTTCCGCATGATGCTTCAACATGCATGTTTGATGTGAAAGGGGTCTGTAATGAATTTAGGGGGTTGCTGCGAAAGATAATGGTCCCAATCTGACCTCCACTGGCATGACTGTATGTCTCTCTGGATAGAGTGCGATTTAAACAGGAAGGCACAAGCTTTTCAAATATGTCAGTTCTGACGGGTGCCTCTTTTTTTGTAGATAAAAATATGTCTCTTCTTCTGTCCCTAATGGCTCAACCTAGATTGAAAGCCTGTAAATGCAGGTATTTTTGTAGAGGGAGACCTACATATCACTCATGAGGAGTGACAGGTGGGCGTGTGCGGTCGTGTGTTTCTCCTCCAAAATGTGTTTTGCAAGGAAGTTTGTAGTATTTGATGCTCCTCTTCATGTGTGATCCTGATTTTTCCATTCCCCCTGTGTGGAGGTCACAGCTGCATCGAGGTAGCAGTCCAGAATATGCCGGTGGCTCAATATCATTGATCCGAAAGAGAACTGCATGACACAGGACAAGAATAACGGCTGGTGATTGACATGCACAGAGGGAAGGACTTATTTAGTAGATGCATATGTCTTTTTTAATAACTATGTAAGGTCAGATCTAAAACGTGAAGGATTTTGGGCCAGACCAAACACAGAGATCCTGTCATAACAAAATCCCTGTGGATGCCTGACTGCCATGGAAAATTTACCTCAGTAAAATAGTGCATGATTCAAAAGGCTGTAACAATAGAACTGCCTGAGGAGATTTAGTGATGATTGGCCACATATCTCAGATACAAACTGGATTCGGCCTTGAGAAGGAAATTGGTGACTGCCGTCTTACTGCTGGGCACTCATGGTGTGTTGTCATCTGAGGTAATGGCCATGTTAAAACACTAGTTTTATAAACTTGGTCATATTTAGGATACTAAAGCGGGATTATGCACTGTCTTCAGCATGGCCCACTTTTCCATAGCTCCAAGAAAAGAAAATCTCTCTCTGCAGTTCGCCCACACATATTCCCTTCAGACAAACAGGCCTTAGCTCAGAATGTGTTTCAAGAGCTGGACACAAGCAATCGGTGAAAACCAGCCAGTTTTGTT